TGATACTTCCTCTCCTTCTTAAGTCACTCAGGCTAATTTATAGTAATGTCTCTTAGTCATGAGCCACCTACACACACTATCAGAAAGCATGTTATGTGTATGCAGCAACATTTTCATCTTTGCAGATACCAGAGCATAACAAATGTAGATGGTATCTGAGTTCAAACTTCATACACGTGCATCACTTGAGTTATAATAAATATATTAATTGTGAAGTTGCTCTGCACAGCTTACGTACAATCACCATGGACGTCTGAAATTTTCCAAAGTGCAAAGCCATGGCAGGTTACTCATATCCATCCATACTGCACCATCTTAGTACCATCTCTGAAACCGAGCTCGCCCTTGGCGTACAGGCGCTCCAAGCCACATACTACAAGGGTTGCTCCTCTAGGAGCTATTTATTGGCCTCACTATTGCAGACTAGTTTCACTAGCAGAGTAGGATGACACCTTACACTGCACTGTCTTCACTGCAGTTAGAATCTCCAAAATCCACGGTTGCATGGACACCAAATATCTTCTCTGTCAAATCCAGCTGAGTGTGGTTTTTAAATTTAATCATGATCCTCTTGGCCCAGAAGAGGATGCAGGGGATGCCATTAACGGTGACATTGAGAGGGCTGTAGCGACTGTGCGTGAGCGGCCTCCTGGCTTCTCTTTCCAACTGTTCTTTCCTGCTCAAGTTGTAATTGACCGCCTGATTGACCACATAAAAGATGAGTATCAAAAGATGAGCATATCAGTATTTAGTTTATATCTGACCAAAATAAATGAGTCAGCACTTAGAGAGCACCTGCTGAGACAGGTCTCAGCTGGAGTGGTCGTGACTGAGGAAGTAGAGAAGTCTCTGACCAACTCTTTCTTTTCAAGGTGGGAACCATACAGGCTTCTAACTCCAGCACAACTTGCCAGAGAGCCAAAATAAGCATTATTTGTTCTGCTGGTGTAGTATCACTGGCATATATCACATTCTTAACATGTCCCCCTCACATTCCAGCACACTGTGGAGTAATCCATATACAAATTACAAAATAAATAAATAAATAAATAAATAAATAAATAAAATAAAATAAAAAGCAGCAAAGCTAAAATAATAAGATACTCACCCCAGAAGAAGACTCACTAGGGCAGTTCTAAGCATGACAGCAATACACTAAAAAGGATGAATCTTGGGCCAAGGATACAGTCTACCATGCTGAAAGCACATTAGACAGCTGTCCAGGTGAAAGAAATGCACCTACCTACAGGCATTTTGACCACAGATGGCTTTAAAAACTGATGCCTGCTGCAAAGGCTTCTGTATGGATCTATGAATTTATAAATTAATGGAATCTCTACCTTTATAACTGAAAAGGCTTCTGTAAAGGCTTCTGTATGGATCTATGAATTTATAAATTAAGGGAATCTCTAACTTTATAAAACCATTAATTTAGAAATTTAAAATCTGGGTACTGAGGGTTTCATGTCCTCTATAGAAATCAGGAAAAAAAATAACCCTTCCCAGTCAAATTTCACAGCTAAACAAGTCTGATTTGCATTGCCAGCAATGTAACTTGAGACAATGAGCTAGAGCTCAGGAAGGACTTGAAAATTTAATCCTCATTTTCATATTTCAAACTAAGATTTCCTGACACCACAGTCTCTTTTCCATTTTCAGACATGTCAAATCTGAGGATGCTAATGCATGTAATGTCTGCATGGCTGCCTTGCATGCAATATGAGAGAGCAAGTTCAAATCATGCATGAACAAGAAAAGTATTCTGCATTTCAACCATAAACACCATCTTATCAGGCTTCAGCAAGGATGTGGTTAAGCTCCAAAGCTTTGTCTTAGCTTAAAGATTTTTTTTTTTTGCTGTTAAGATTAGCAAATCAAGTCTCCCATCAGCTCAGACCCTGAAAGACCCCTTTGATACTTGACCTTACAGATGGCACAAGCCTGATTTAGGAATTAAAATTACTAGGTACTTGCAGCAACAACCAAGGTTAAGATAACAGTCAGAGAATTTAATGCAACAGCTATCAAGCAACAGCATTACAAATGCCTTTGGGAGAAATTAAAAGCCTATTTTCTTCATAAGTAGAGAACAAAATATTCATATTATTTACATTAGATTGCATTGTTTACATGGTTCTTAATGGGAAATCTTCCTGCCATCAGTTTTTAACAAAACATACAGGCTGGCTGGAGGAAAAATTCCCACTGAATTTAGCAACCAGCAGTTCTGCTTCAGCAATTCTGTTCATATCAAGGACATAAAAGACATAAATAAAATACTGGTCACTGCAGTCAGATGGGATTGTGCTGAATATGGACATCAGGATTTGGTTCTTTCAGAATGACCCTGTGCCCAAACCCATTGCCAGTCAGCACCAGCTACGCCACCCAAAGTGTTACCCCATTGCTCAGAAGAATAGATGTACTGTGCTACAGGTATCAAGATCACACCATGGCCTGGACTCCATTGGCTCTTTCTTGTATGTAAATAACACGTCATTTAAGGCAACAATGTAAGTTAAAAGATCTCAAAACACTATGAAAAGTAATTACATATCCTGTGTTACCTGTGTAATTGCTACTTGATTTATGTTAAATTTTGGCTTCACACCACTGTCAAAACATCAACCTGCAGAAGAAAGTGTGTTGTGAGACTACAAAGAAAACAACTGGCCATTTATAAAAGTGTAATTCTGCATATCTTGACGCCTTTACTTGTGAGAACTCCAGGACTCCAAAATTAAAGGGTTCAGCCTATACATTTATTTATTCTTATACATTTATTTATTTATTTATCCCACATGCACTTAAGAGGCTGCATTTTTCTTCATACAGACAACTTTTCAGAAGGGGTCTGTATGGAATCACATGGCAAAAGCCTGTATCTATGGGCAGTAATTTCTTTGCCTGCACCTGACAAAGATGTGAATCTGTGACAAATAAGATAAAAGCTCTCACTGGCTGCCAGGAATGCAAAGTTTCACAGGTGCCAGACTACTTGACAAACACTTCCCCAGCTCCAATGAGTGAATACTGCTTTATTTCACATTCTCACCCAAATCTCAGAGGCAGTAAAGGACTATTTTAGCCACAAAAATCTTTTAAAGAGTATTTGTTAAAGATACACTTTAATAAAACTTCTGACAGAAGCAACACAAATGACAATGGAAGCAATATCTGGGAATGAAGATTTTACAGATAAACTAAGAGACCCTGTATCCAGGCACTCAGCTCACTAAAAGCCTTACCATTCTTTTGCAGATCTTGATCTGAAAGTGCATGTGAACTAGAAGAGAGGAGGAAAATATTTATTGCACGATATCTGGATTTAAAGTCTGAATAAATTTAATCTCACCAAATTTATGAAGAGCTCCTGAAGGCAAAGTTTCTTTCAACAGAATGACCCTTGGCTGGTTAGGGCCACATGAGCAGCACAGAGTAACCCTAAAGCCAGGGCACTTTTGGCATCAGAGGTCCCCGAGGCAGGCCAAGCCCCTCTGCCATTCCTTTCAGTACTCACTGAAGGCTTCATACCCTTCTTGTCCCTTCCACAATCACTAGCAGGTCTCGCCCACAGAGACCATGAACAGCAGCAGCGATGCTAACATAGACCTTCAGGATGTTTTATATATTGGAGGCTGATCTGGTTCCAGTCCACAAGCACTTGCACAGCCCTTCCTACCCGCCTCCATACCAGGGCAACTATCTCAAAATTTGTAGCTCCCTATAGTGGATTGATTTGCTGACCTGATGAAACACTTCCACTTCCCATGCCTACCGCCAGTGTTCCTCACTAGGTGATAAAACTGGCCAAGAAGTCTCCTGCACCCAGAGATCAAGATCTTTTTGCAAGGGCTTTCTATCCACTACCCTAATTCTTTCTGCCCAGTGCAAAGACCAATATATTGTAAGGACTAGGAATGTAAGCAGCTTTGAATACTTAAATGTAAATTGCATTGTAAGTTATTTGACTTAGGCTCAAGCCTTCGTTTCTCTCGACAAATGGCTGGGTGAACCTCCCCTCTAAAGAGATTCCTTCATGGGCATCTGCAAGTGCAGCAGCTCTACGTTACCCGCTAGGACTTACTGTGGGAGTTACCCCAACTTAACTATCGCCGCAGCATCCTTATTGGTGGTAATACCAAGGCAGAAGAGCTAGCACAACTGAAGGAGAAACAGCAGCCTCAAAGCCTTCCCTGCTCACCCGTCAGCGCAGCTCAGGCAATCAGGGAATCTGATCGCACTGAACCTGGCTCACCTAAAAATCAATAAAACGTTACTGACTTCAGCAAAGCCCAGATCTCACACGTAATGTCTTGTCTATATTCATGCCTCTAGAGGGCAAAAGGCTCGTCCTTCTGATCCGTGTCTGTCCAGTGAAATTTTCTTTTTACAGGCACACTGTGCACTACCGAGAACAGATCTGTTGTGTCTCCTTGCCAAATCCTCAAACCCGGAATGCAAAACAAACAGAAAGCAGACTCTCCATTTCAGCTTGTCGCTTTGTCCCTAAACACCAGGCCTGAAGAACAGCTTTGCTCTAGACTCAGGCAGGCTGTTCAGTCCCTTCAGCAACTGAAGGCAATGTAACAGAAGCCACTCTCCAGAGAAATTGTAACAAAGTACAAAAGGCAGCTAAGCTCTGCAGCTCCACAGCAGTGACTTTAATCAGAGCTGAAAGAACCTTACAAAGATGTTATGTATTAAAAGGTATAAAACACAACACTGTTTAAAGTCAACTGGGCAGTTTGTTATATACACAGAGCCCGACTCAGTGGAAATTTCACATCAAGAGTGAGCAGCTCTCAGAGATGGGTAAAAAAAAAGCTCTTACTTCAGTGGGCAAGTAAAAGACCAGACAACTACCTTATGATTCTCTGAACAACCTATTCGTAACCTCTTTTTTTTTTTTCCTTTAATATCTCTCCCTCTTTTCTTTTCTTTTCTTTTTTTTTTTTTTTTGAACAAGTTGCTTCACAAGGAAGGAGCAGATGGTTTTGCTAACCCCCAAGGACAGAGGGAACTTGGGAACTGCACTAGGCTGTCACTTAGCTGATAGACTGGGTATGTTTCTTGCCTCTTCCAACTTAAGGCTATTGCAGCCTGTGAAATGTTGCAGTTTGAA